AACCCAAACCAGTCACTCGTCACAAATCGTGTTTTAGAGAAAATGGCCAAAACATGCTGGAATGTCAAATTTTTAAAAATCTATTTTATTGCACTAAACTAACCTTTATATATCTACACATCATTCTATGCTGTTATTTTCCCCATTTTCAATGTTAAAACAATACTTTTTAAGGATTTAAAGATAGTTTCTGCATGAGAAATGCCTGAAATCATAAACTTTGATGACTAATTTCTCATATATTGTTCTTTAAACAGTGTGTGGTTAAACGCTTGTAACTTCATAAGGAAATGTCCGATTTGAATGATTTTTTTACCATTTTATAGCTATTATATTATTATTATTATTATTACTGTATTAATGACTCAAAATCGATTTTTGCGACGAGTGACTGGTTTGGCTTTTCCTTGCCACATTTAGTAAGACTACCTTTTTATTTTGGTTTGGTAGTTTTTATTTGTCTGCTTTCTTTTCTGTTTTAGGCTATCTTCTTGTTTTTGATTTTCTTTTAGTTACTTTTGAATTTCATGATTGTAAACTTTTTTTAATATATTCACTGTATGTACTAGGGCTTCCTTGAAAAGCAGTGCTAGTCACTGAATGGATACCCCTGGTTAAAGAAAGCTTAAATAAATAAAATATATGCGTTTAGTAAGCCAGTTGTATCTAACACCGGGTGTACGTCAATCCAAGGTGTAACTACCGAGATGTTCAGGATGCTTAATGCAACGCTAGTGTAAGTATATTGCGAAATACAGAAATTTCTGATCACACATTTTATTTCCTGTTTACATCTAGGCTGTTTTTGACTGGTCAAATCCTGGCCGGGTTCAAAATCATTGATGCATGACTGTCTTAACGCAGTGATGTATGCTAATCTGGGGTTCATTTGTGGATTATCATACGCCAGTGATTGCGCATTAATACTGGCGTTCGCTAAGCCGCGCACAAGTTCACACCACTCGACTCAACGTTATGCTAACATAACTCATGTCTGAACATAGCCTATGTCTCTCTAAACCATACATAAATGCATTTCACATTACATATCTTCTTGTCTATTCCTGAGGTGGAAAAGGTACATAAAAATGACATACTGTATGTATTGTTTAAGCCTCAATAAAAAAACATTAAGAACACAACATTTCTATTTTGAATATGCATTTATTAGTTGTTTAACTTGTTTTTAATTCTTTTAAAATTAACAAAGCAATAGAATCTGGTGGAGACACGATGACTAAAAGTGCTACTACTAAAAGCAGTACAGAATGAAAACAAAAAAAACCCCAGGAAAACAAGCAAAGTTTTTAAAGAATGAAAAACTCCATAGCATACAGACATACAAATGTCACAGTTTGTATGTGTACAATTCTAGCATATAACAAGAACACCATTTAAAGTAATAATGCAGCCTAACATATATTAGCCCAGAAGACCCATTTTATTATTCTAGGTAAGGAAAAGTGATTTCATGGCCCAAAGCTTGTACACTACCTAGAAGTTAATGATATTAACACATTTCGTTTATGATTTCATGACCTAATTCCTGAAAAGACTTGCCGAATTTGGATACTTCACACCAATGTTTAGACATGATTTTCTTTATACTTTTTGGACCATCTCATAAATAATTTGGGCACCTTATTTTCGACATGACTTGTCCATAAGAAACGATGCATGCCAGCATGCTATGTAGCAAGATTTATAAGATAACATATACAGTATATATAGCCCCCTAGGTTCTCACACTATGTGTCACAACCCAATTGCTGGTTGCCAAAACTGTCTGAATCGTAAAGGCCTGTTTATACTTCAACGATAACGATAAAAAAGCTAAAAAGCAATTGTTCATATAGAAAATAAAAGAAATAAGAAGTTTTTACACTAGAACAATTAGATAACGATTTATCAGTTATGTGATATCAACATATTTTGACAAATCAAATCAGATGACGTCATAATCATGGAAAACATTAAAATCGTAGTAGTAGCAACAATTTTATCGTTTTTCCCTGATTATGACATCATCTGATTTGATTTGTTAAATTATTTTGTTATCGTATACACGATAAATCGTTATCGAATTGTGCTAGTGTAAAAACTTCTCTTATTTCTTTTGTTTTCTAAACAATTGCTTTCTAGCGTTTTTATCGTTATCGTTGAAGTATAAACAGGCCTTTAGATGCCTTCCTAACCAAAAAAAAGGAAGGTTATGTCAAAATATAGGTAAACGATTGGCAAGTTATACATTTTCAACCAGATCTCAAACACAAGACCCTTAAGCTATCCTGTCCTTTTGCAAAAATTAATTTTTAAAAAAATCAAACAGTCCTGTAAATAAGGAGTAGTATAGGTCTTGGGTCGCCTCAAATAAGGGGTTTGCAAATGAATCTCCACCTGAAAGGCTTGAGAACCAGGAATGGTCCAAGAGTGTAGAGCATTCTCAGTGGGATGTGTTTTGTCTTTCCTTTTTCCAGAAGCCAGCACGTTTCCATACCCTATGCTATAAAATATGGTTATTAATCTTAATCTAGGATTTTGTCTGATTTTGTCAATACATATTTTGATCATACAGATAAAACAATTCATAATAAATAAATATTCTGTTACTAAGAGATAAACTTAAAATAAAAAAATATACTAATACTAATTTTAATATTAGTAGAAAATTATTAATAAACGAATTTCAATAAAAATATTAATTATTATTACTTTATTATTATTATAATAAAATAATTATAATTTTAATAATGATAATAATAATACCTACTTAACCTAAAATTATTTCTCAAAAGCATAGTTCATAGTAATATATTCAATTTATTTTCATTTCTTTTGCATCTGCTCTAGAAATTTCCACACAACAATCCCAAAACCTTTTGAATTTTATCATTCAAAAGCTATCTAATAAATTGCAAATTAACTCTTCTGTAAGAACAACAACCATATTGAAAATACTTGATTACTATTTATATAAGTGTTCAAATTAATTCTAATTTCTGGTTGTATTGAGTGCAAAAATGCTATTTTTTAATAGACTTTACATGTATTAAAATGTGATATAGTGACTGGTATAACACCAAGCCTTAACATTCATAATACACCCAAGAGTCTTTCTCGTAGCCTTCATGCACATGTTCGAGAAGTACTTTACGTCGACTATCGCAGTATCTGCAAAGACAAAAGTAAACATTGCTGGATTTGAGGATTTTCATATTGAAGTCTGTTTTTGCAGATACCGAATCTGTATCTCATTGAAAATTTATTCGGCGAGTTGACTGGCCGAATCGATTAGGCGGGGGCGATGCTAACTACATCCTTTAATGCCTGCGCTGGCTCAAGCCACAGCTCGCCCAGTGTTCGGTTGGTAGAACCAAGTCTTCACGGATAAGGAATTTAAATGGATCGTGTGCACTTTAAAGAACCCACTGCATCTTTCGGAAGAGGAGGGGTTCCGGTGATGCTTTGGTTCATTTTAGCCCTGTCGTCGTGGAATGATGTGAACATGTAGCTACTATAAGCACCTCTTTATGGGCGCTAGGTAGTCACAGACGACACCCATATGCAATTCAGACACAACAAAGCTGCAATTATTCTCCTACCTTCTATTTGAGTATTTTTTACAAGAGCAATTCAGTATATTCATTGAAATTTTAAGTGGTTTTACAGATTTGACTTTAGACAGTAAATCTTTAATGCCTCTGCCATAAACAAAATTTAAGGCGTATGTTTCACAGGTTGTCACTGATTAAGGATGTAAGCATGATTCATGCATTTTTAAAGAGATGAGTAAACCTGTAGTGTGTTAGCAAGTCTTCACAACCAAAACGTGCCTGTGTATAAAAAGATGTGTGTGTGTATGCTCTGTCATCATATGGACCAGTTACAAGATTTTATTCTGCTACTATGTATAATACTCTATAATACTGACCTGGATTTATCTTGGACTTTTTGCTTGATGTCAATTATGGAATCTGACGTAATGTCTCGTTCTAAGTACTCTGACAAAAACTCTGTTGCGTTTTCTAAATCTTTCTGGTTCTCCTAATAAAAAATCCACAAAATATTTGGTTGCTTATTTATTGTAATTAAAGCATTATGACTCTACTATGACTCGGCCTAATATACTAGAAACAAAAGACTGGAACTCTGGCATATCAAAAGTAAAGCAGATACACATCATATCTTTTACGCATCTCCTGCCGTACCCATCATGCAATTCAGTGATACAGTTTTTATCTATGGAGTACTCTCTTGAGCTTCTAGTACCTATGTGACAGGGATGATATGTATATTGATGAATGAAAACAATGCAATACTTTTGATATAACAGTAGTATTGCTGATAAGTAAGGTTACAGAGGTCATCCTTTTTCATCATTTTCAAGAGAATACAAAACAAAATAAAATAATGCTTGTGGTCATTTTTTCATTTTAATACTTAGAATACATGCTGTTCACCCCTCACCTTTAGTGTATGTTTTGTACATAAAAATGATAAAAAAAATAATGATCCCTAAACACTACTTGAGGAACTACATAATTTAGGGACCAGCATCATCTGCAGTACTGTGCCATAGGCCACATTGTACAGAAAACCTACAGCTTAAGACAATGTGCTGTAACCTGGGGTGAATAAACATTGTTTACCACCAGTTTCAAGCAACTGCACTACGATGATTTCTTATGTTCTTTTTTTCTATTAAACTAAATTTTAGCAATTGCGGCGAAGACAACCCAAACCAGTAACTCCTCGCAAATTGTGCTTTGGAGATAATGGCCAAAACATGTTGGAATGTCAAAGTTTCAAAAGTCTATTTTATTTCACTAAACTAAACTTTATATATCGATTCATGTATCTAGACATCATACTATGTTGTTATTTTCTCCATTTTCAATGTTAAAACAAAATTTTTTAATGATTTGGTGATAGTCTCTGCATGCGAAATGTCCAAATTTTTTTAATTTGAAGGCTGATTTCTTTTTGTTCTTTAGACAGCTGTATGTTTAAACTCCTGTAACTTCATAAGAAAATGTCAGATTTAAACAACTCTTTTACCAACTTATAATTGTCATTTTACTGTTTAATCCTGTATTAATAACTGAAAATAATCTTTTTGTGAGGTGTGACTCATTTGGCTTGTTTTTACCACATATTATTGTGCATTTTAATTGGCTCACTAACCTCAAATATTATACTTTGATTATTTTTTCCAAGATAGAAAGCGAACACGTATGTATTCATGAGGGTGGTACGGCAAGAGGTTAGCACGTCCACTGCTTTCTTTAGGAACTGCACTTCGATCCATGACATGTTCATCTGTTGCATATCTTCCATTTTACTTTTAATCTTGCTGTACAGCTGAAATAATCAAATGATAATTATATTATAATATCATAACAATCATTATCAAAAGTGCGTCACTTTAAAGGCAGTTTTCCACTAGGCGAATTTATTCGCGCGAATTGAAAATTTGTACCTGTACGCATGCGCATTTGAGAATCTCGTGATGAAAATTAAACTGGGCATGCTTATAGGCGAAAATTTTTGATTCGCGTGAATAAATTTGTCTAGTGGAAAACGGCCTTAAGAAGCATATTCACGTGTATTCTCATTTACTGATTTGAGAGCAAGTACACATGACAGAGGAAGAAAATAGAATAAAGCAATGTAGAGCTCTGTCCACACTATCAAATTTTCTTAGAAGAAAAACTGTTGTATGCCCATATATAGTCATGATGTGCCCATATATAGTCATGATGTGGCCATATATAGTCATGATGTGCCCATATATAGTCATGATGTGCCCATATATAGTCATGATGTGCCCATATATAGTCATGATGTGCCCATATATAGTCATGATGTGCCCATATATAGTCATGTTGTGCCCATATATAGTCATGATGTGCCAATATATAGTCAGGATGTGCCCATATATAGTCATGATGTGCCCATATATAGTCATGATGTGCCCATATATATAGTCATGATGTGCCAATATATAGTCAGGATGTGCCCATATATAGTCATGATGTGCCCATATATAGTCATGATGTGCCTATATGAGGCTTGCCATTCTAAAACTAGCACACTGTCAGTAATTGTTAAACTGAGTATTTAGCATAAGAATGTGGCAGTATTGTATACTTTAGTACAGAGAAGCTGTAATACTTTTACTTCAGCAATAGTAAGTTGATTCCAGCAAATGACCCATTATTTTAAAGCTTAAAATGTGGAAAATGTGACTCCATTAAACAGGCATTTTTCATTTTTTATTAACTGTGGCCAGTTTTAGGAAGGCAAGCCTCATATTTTGTCTAAAATGTGATGTCATCATGACCATATTTAGGCATGTCACACGTTTTTGTCACATAAAATTTGATAGTCTGTGCAGGGCTGAATGCTTTGTAAGGTACATGACACAAATCACCCACATCAAATAACAACACAAATTCACACTATGCTATTAATGGTAGTGCAATGGACCGTTCCAGAGTCTCAACTGACCAATCGGAACGGTGCCAGGAATACAGGCATGTCCAACAAATACATGTGTTGTCTACAAACGCGCATGTTTATGTACATTAATGCTACTGCTTTGAAGGACCTTAGCAACAATATCCAAGGGGTGGAGCTTAGTGGAAAGGTCCACTGATACACAGGCTATGATAAGATAAGCTGCACCCTGTCACCATGCTACAGACACCCATGTTAAATCCATGCGAGTGTTACAAGCATCTGTGATATCTGTTTTCTTAGATGGACATCAAAAGGGACACATGCCAATCTTACACGGATACCCCTTCACACAGACACAAAGAAGACAAAAAAAGCATGGGACGCTTGACATATTTTACTAGAAAAAGTAACATTTTCTCTTCTGTAAATGCAGCTAATATCAGATTTGTGCATAAACATCTTTCATCTCATAATAAACTCTACATTCACTTACTTTATTTTCAAACTTAAGACTCTGCATGTGGTTCATGTATCGATTACAATAGAAAAGGTATCTTTGCAATGCTGATCGAGATTTCTGCAAACATGAAGATATAACCACAATGTGAAATTACTTATTGATTTTAATTAAATTATAATAAAAAAACATGATCATATTTATCAAGTTAAAGTAACCAATAGAATAAACCATATAACTTTCATTGACGATGTTTAGTTAATGATACATTTATTTACATCCAGGAACCAATATAACATAATGCAAGCATTGCATTGTGCAGTATTGGATGAACAAGGTTTACCTTGTATCCTGTATGAACAATAATAATATTCCTAGATTAAAATTAATTAGCTTTTTACGATTAACATTGTCTTTTAGCATTAAAATTCTTGTATTAAGATTATTGATACTGATAGCATTAAAGATACTGTTTGTAGTAAAATCTATAGATTTTATGGAAAAATAGCAACAATTTAATAAAAAATTGAATTCTTAATTTGTAAGCAATTGCAATAATTGTATTCTATTTAACGCTTATTAAGTCAACACAAACAATGTCGTTATTAATCGTAGACAAAGATCAATTTACTTATCAATCCAGGATTAATATTTATCTGCATATTAGGATCAATAATCCCTATATCTCACCTCCTGATTATCTCTAGCTTTTTTTGCTTCATCTTCATCATACCTATTACAATTATACCTGAAATACAGAAATGATAGGCCTATTATTCAGAAACATAATTACAATACGTAAATGTATAAAAAGAACAATACTAATAATATGTAAGGTTTAAGTAAATACACTCATAAAACTCTCTATGCACTTAGCACTATTATGCAAGTCACTGGAACAACTGCATATGGAACACATTCCCATATCCCTAGAGTGAGAATTCCATAATGTTGCAGCTATTTATGAGTATATTAATACACCCGAGTGGGAGGAGAAACAACATAAATATTATGCATTGCCCATGACCAGCCTAGACTATTTCAAACCTACAAAGATCCAAATGCTTGGAGTAAGATCTCTTGAATGACAGCATATACCACAAATACTCTGCCAACTGTTTTCATTTATTTATTATTTTTATTTTATAAGATTTATATAGCGCACATATCCGATTATGGAAGAACTGCTCAAGGCGATTTTTTGCCCATGGTCAATGGACACAGAATCAATCATACACAACGTGCAAGCTCCTCCAACCCATGGGGAGTTTGTGCTTGTTTATAAATTAAATTTTAGTTTCTTGTGGCTAAAAAGTGCCTCGAGATGGTTTTTACTTTGGAAGGCACTATAAAAAATACATGACCATTGAGTAATTTCATTCTGAATCACTCGCCTCCTACCTGGTCAGGAACCCATTTATAATACTACTATGTGAAGTGAGGCAAATGCAGGGCTCAAGCAGTGTGACGAACATAGGTCCCGAACCCTTGACCTTCCAACTGAATGCCCAATGCCTTACACGCTGCACACTTTGCCTTAAACATTTACATCTGAACATTATCTTACTTTGCTACTGAATTATTCACACTTGAATTACGTGTGGGTAGATGTAAACTGATCTGGTTGCATGTGGAAGTAAGTGGCGAAGTGCATTAACGCTTTGGTCTTCCAATCAAAAGGTCGAGCACAAGGATGGTATTATTGCAAGTGTCTTTGTCAAGGCACTTCATCAATGTGTCTCTCTCTGCCCAGTATATACATGTGTATATGGTAGAATATGAATTACTAAATGAAATTGGTCTAGTGCTGAGCTAAGTGCATACTTCCAAGGCAATGGAGGAAGTTCCACATTGTGCAAGACATAATGTATCAAATCACAAGAGTCGTTTGTTCGTATGAATCATAATCGATTTTAGCTGCTGTTAATAGGGAGCTTTCGATTTGTGCTACGACGCATCGCTGGAACGGAATCACTCATGCGTCCTGTCCTACATGGTGTCCTATGTTATCTGCATAGGTAGATTTGGCCAAATTGCATTCCAGAATCTACGATGAGGTGACCTTAACGTTCTCACATGCGCAGATGACTTTTAGTGACGTCATTACGTTCTACGTCCTACCGTCGTCGTGCAATCGAAAGCTCCCTATTAATTGACTGGAACAGTCATGGCAGGGTCACTGACGAGCAGGTTAGCAACATGCCATCCCATTTATACTCCTGAGTGGAGAGAGGCAAACTTAAGTAAAGTCCCTTGCCCAAGGACACAAGCAATGCGACAAGCGTCGGTTCTTTACAAGGATAACAAGAGTAGTCACTACTAGAGTGTATACCTTCGCCCTGTGCCTGAATACTGAACAATACGCAGGCTGTGTACGATGGGAAATTCCATTATTTTCTTTTATGTTTTCATTTAATTTCAGTGACCTTGACTTTTGTCCTTTTCTGCCAAAAAGTTAAGCACCTCTTTCTTAGATTATTATGTTCCATTCCACTAAATTTTATGAGGATCTATTACTTAGTTTTTGCATAATCTTGCCGGCAGACAGACAGGGGTGAATACATAACCTCCTTGGCAGAGGTAATAATAATGCCTTGAGCACCTATTATTGGCAAGTGCAGATGCTCTACCATTATAACAACCAATTTTTTATTTTAAAAAAACCCATGATGTATGTTAATTAATATACTGTAGAGTCAAAATTACACATATGAAATGCATAGCACTCTGTTGAAATAACTTTAATACAATTTATTCACAAGCAGTAGTTAGTAATGTGTGTCACTCAGTGCTGCTGGCATACCATTGCCAGCTAAAGCTTGTGAATAAATTTGATTTGAGTTACGGAGTGCGATTCATTTCATGATTTCTGCCACTGCTGATTCATATCATGCATATAGCTCTTCACTAACTATAACATAAATGTTTCCTCTGCCAGAGGTGCAATATGTAAAATCACATCCGATGCTTCTTCGTACATCACATACTGGTCCTAGTCTGCTAATTTTCTCATCAGTGATGTAATTCTATTTCTATTCCCGATAGCTTTCACAAGCATGAAATGTATTATATGATTTTGGAACGTTTATAAATGTTTTTAATTTTTACTTTACCAGTTGAAATTCAAATCCAAACAAAATGACATGTACATTGTATATAGATTGAGCTGAGCCTGACTACTCTTATGGAATCATTAAAACACTGAAGATATTTGTACCAGAAGAGCACTAGTATCGTATATCAATTAAAACTAGCCTGAAAAACTAATATTGTTTGTGTTTTACATGCAAATAATATAAATATATTTTGTATTACCTCACCATATAACAATATTTAAAAAATTATAGTTATTTTAAAACATATTTTCTATTGTTTTCAAGAGTATTAACAATTTTTACCATGATGATCCATGTGGCTCCCAAGGCCCCAAGCAAACCCAACAGAAATCAGCCTGTAGAAGATATAAAATCAAGAGGTTAATGGTTGTACATCTCAGTATTGTAAAATCCGGGTCTTAAAAATTCTAATCAAATGAGAGACTTAATTACAGGATTAATGTGTAGCATACATAGGCACTAGAAGTGTGAATTAATATTAATAAAATATAAATACTTATATTACTTTATAATAATTAATGGAAGTATAGATAAAATCAATAAAACAAATTACATAACTTAAAATTTTATTGTTTTTTGGTTCAAACAAAATAAAAATTAAGACAGCCTTTATATTCTCATGTTCAAATGACTTATTAATATAAAAACTTCCCATCAATTATTTCAAGGTCTTGACCAGCCAGGAAGTACTAGGTTCAGACTACATATATTGCATCTCTGGTTACGACTATCATATGATTAGACACCAGTTTTCTTAAAGTTAAACACATAATTTTTTCAGTTCAAATTACTTTCTCAGTATAATTTATTGTTTGCATATTATTTCAAGCATGTGACTAGCCCAGAAACAAAGGGCACAAAGTACATACCTTGCAGCTCTGGTTACGACACACCATGTGATTGCAGCCACCATCTTTCTCAATGGTCACATGACACTTGGGACATTCTTTGGTGTTAGCAGCTATCCAATTGGATGTCTCACTGTCATCGTCACACTTCTTTATCCACTTCTTGAGCCACTAAAGGTGAAAGGTCGGATATTCATAATTCAATTTAAAAGAACTAGGTTACAACAAAACAAAACAATAAGAGAACTAGGTTATATTAGATCAGATACAAATAGATAAAATAATTAAAGATAAACAAGTAATGTTATATAATATTAATTAGTATCATTATAATTTATACATAACTGTTTTTATTACCTTTATTACCATCATTAGTAATATTATTGTAACTTTATGAAATATAGTAATATTTGGTATTTTCACAAAATGACAAAACTGCCTTATTCCTTTTTTTAAATATAAATATAAAATTCACATTTCTTGATTACTGATTTATTTCATTTCCTAATTAAAAGCCACAATTTCATACTAATTTATTTACACAGAAGTGATTTCTTTCATTTCATTTACTATAATTATGCTGGAGAATGATGATACATAGATCTATTTATATTTTTAATATATAGTACAATAAAGTATATAATCATATGATGACTATATATAGTCTTTCATAATAAATGCTACATGTTTGTAGATCTGCATAAAGTACTGAAATAAATATCACTCGGCCATTAGGTATCAATTGACAATTTTAATGTAATCCATATTTAGTAAATCATCGCTCATCCTCACACGTAGGCCTTCATTATGCATTGCACAATTTGCACAGTATCAAATTACATGTTGGATTAAATAAATTACATAATGCATTGAATGGAAAATGAATTCCCGTTAGGAAGAAAGAACAACAAATACAAGGAATCCTGAGGCATAATATGCATTCAGGAATTTCTACCATCGACTGAAATTATTTTAAGATTAAATATATTACAGCTTACAATGAAAACAATACTTACTATACACTTTACTGGATCATGCCACATTTCTCCACATGAAAAGCTAGAGAACAAGGACAAATATTAATGTGTATTTGAAAAAAAGAATGTTGATTCTATTCATAATGATGATTGTAAAACTCATTTTTAACATTCATTCATACATTGAAAGCTCATAAAAACCTTTGTGTCAAGATGAAATGAAACTTATATTCTCAACTGGCTGTTACAAAGGAAATCCTCTAATTAGTTAAATTGTAAGAGTAACGCAGGTAGACTACTCACTAGTTTTGTGGTATATTTCAAGACTTGAACCAATAAAGAGCAGAAGATCCTGAGGTATAATACTTCAGGATCTCCAATGCTCTTTTCTTTAGGTTGAAATAAATGTTTATGAATAATATGGAATGTGAATCTGGTTAGGGAAATGTATACAACATAATTGACTTGAGTTATCACAAGCTTTCACCAGTAATCTATTCTATGCTCACGCTAGTCATGGCGAATTGAGATGCCGTTTAGCGAAGAAAAAATTTGCATCGTTCGCCAAATTGGCGAAAGGAAATTTATACATACTGTATTAAACAAATGTAATTTTCGTCTAGTCTAGGCCTAGGCTCTTCTTAAGTAACTACCATCTCGAGCAGCAGAGATATCGCCTCACTAAGCAACCCTATTTTCACCACATGTGCTGTATAGATTTACAGATACTGTCAAGTTCATGTCGAAAATCCCAGATAGATAAATCGTTTTGGGCATGCGTACGGACATGCATGGGTAGTTTTTAAGCAAGCAGTCGCTGATCATTGCCTGCACATGACACGCTGAAACTATCGTTCCCATGATAAAGAGAACACTAAAACGATATTTCTTCGGCGATTTCGTTACTTAAAACATAGTATTATACTACTTAAAATAATACATGTATTCCGAAAATCTGAATCTCCTAATTTCTAACATTTTATTTGGTTCAAACACAAAAATTAACTTCTAAAACCAGACAGTTATGTAAAAATTTCGAAAATTAGAAATAACAAAACAACAAGCATAGGCTTACCAGATGCCGTGAAAACAAACTGTCATGCCATGGAGATTATAATAAATTTATTAAAATGACACGCCAGCAAATGTTAATAAAATGAAAGTTAAACCTTCCAAGCTCCACCAGATAAAACTCAAAGCATGCTTCTGCGGGTGATTCTTTTCAGTAGCCCAACAATTAATTTGGATTCAGACATCGTTAGATTTGTCAGTGTAGATTACAAAAGTACATAGCCTCAGTCATGTTGCTATTTTAATTACGGAGAAATTTTGTAGAGAATGGAATTTGAATTTTTTAGATTTATTTATATTTATCTCTAAAATAAAACCATTATGATTTCTTTATTTGTTTAAATAAATCTGTTTAAATATTCATCGTCTTACACTGAGCTTCTTCCTGTCACGCACTATGAAACTTTGGGCGATCTGACGCCATCCCAATCATTGAAGCATGTGTTTGCACACCACCACCGCATCCCCGAAAAAAAAAATTAATCAATTGTCGGGCAGGGTTTTCTGCGGGATCTTTTAAAAGAAGTCTGAGGACCCTTCCCCAGGAATAAATGGTCAATCAATCTTATATCAAGAAACAATAGAATACTATAGAATATTGTAAAATAAGATACTATGAACAACATACCAAAATACGTGTCCACACCGACATTTAACCGGCTTCACCTCATTGTGGTTGACTTTAATAGCGTATGGACAATCAGGAGCTGGGCACCAACGCATCAGTCGATTGCAACCCACAAAACTTAGTGTGATAAGATGCTGGTATTTTAACTTAACACGAGGCTCTTTAACTAGATTCCTGTGAAGTAAAGATAATTGAGAAAACATAGTAAATAATAGTTACTGATATAATAGGGAAGAGGATGTTAATGGAAATCTTACAAGCTGATGATTTAATTAATTGAAAGCCAACATTCATGCGTCTTTACCTGTTGTAATTGAAAACATTCTGAATCACAACAAAGATTACTGGCTTAAAGAGGCCTCTTAAAAACAAACATATAATTAAGGAAGCGGTTCGGCGCAGCAAGAATGGTTTGGTTTCCCCACCTCGAGGTCAGCGTTTCAATCCCTCGCTGTGTATTTCGCTTGTCTCCTTGAGCAAGGCACTGTATCTGCGTTGCTTCTTTTCACCCAGAAGTATAATGGGTACACGGTGGTGTTGTCTGTTCTGCGCCAACATGGCAGCAACACTTTAAGCACGTGGACCCAATGAGCAGGGAAAACAAAGCGCTGCGTTACCTAAAGGAAAAGTGCTGTACACGCAGCAAGTAACAAGTAATCAATGTTGAAAAAAACCAGTCATTTATCTTTTTCTATAAATATTGAAACTTCCTGAATAAGAATGATTCCTTATTTGACATCTGATTGAACATATTTTGTCTTTTCATGTCTGTTAAGCTTGTCTAAAAGCTATCAATTTCTATGTGACATCTTTACCCATACATAAATTTGATGATGTCATATCACACACACACACAGTATGTACAAATCACAGGTATTTGTCACATCCATCATAGTGTGGGCAGAGTTGGAAGTTGCATTGCTCTACTTCAGTGAAAGACAAAATCTGATATAAGTTATGAAAATGTAATAATCTACCTAATAGCAAATAGTATCACTAAAGCTGTCAAGATTTTCATTTTTTTTTTCTTTGGACAAAAAAAAACAACTGTTCAATGGTCATATATAGTCTTGATGTGCTTATATGATCATGTTGTGATGTCATCATGACCATATTTGGACATGTCACATATTTTAGTCAGAGACAATTGGATAGAACTTTAGACAATGATATAAATAGATATTTTTTTTGTAAAAATGACAAAGATGGCAATGAAAACACTTAAACAATATTTCAATCATCATTAAAGAAAAGAAAATTTAAAAATAACTCATCTATAGTGGTATCTCAACATGTTTTACATCATTTATTCCTTATGTTTATAAACTCAACATATTTCATATGTAACTTAGAGCAAATGAAATTCACTACATAGTGTAAGTAATACAGAGAGTACAAGATAACTTACAACATGCAACAAACGTATCACACACATTATAAATGCTTAATGCTTAGTGATTAGTACATAAATGGATCATATCTACTTAAAATAGAATGTGTTGCTATTTCAGTCTTTAAGAATTTAACTTGCAGCTTACACTGAAATAAATAAATCTGGTTTCATGTTTAAATTAAGTATGAACAAAAAATTATCAGACGTTCATTTTTCTTCTTTTTTAAAATGGATTATACTGTTATTATTTTAATGGATATTATAATTCCCCACATGCATAGATTTCTCCAATGTCATGTCCTGAAGTTTTTGTCACATTTCCTTTTAGCAAAGGTTTTGATAACAGAGAAATTTTTAATATGGACTGGTTTCCAAAAACAAAAAACATGAGAATTCTTTACTTACATAACAGTATGATCATCTACAAGAATGTCACAGCCATGAGCTGCACATGATATTGTCTGCAAAAAAAATGATCATAATCATCAATTTATTACCTACAAAATATTAATTGCAGAAAAAATATAATAAATTGTCAAAATATTGTATACATAATAAGAGTTCCATAATGAGTGTATCCTGAATAGCAATTTGTTGTATTAGTGTTTAAGGATAAGGATAATCCTTCAATTTGTGGTCAAAAATGTTTCCCCTTAATAATACTAATAGTAATGCCCCCTTAATAGGGATGTCACAAAGGAGGGGTTTTACTATAAGACTGTGATAATTGGTTTGAATTTGATATAGTGGATGTAATATGGATCTCCATAAATATACATATCATTTTCATACAGTACTTATGCGCTAGAGTTATCATATAGGATTGAATTTCCCCAATTGCACATCAGCAAAAATTGCTAAGAGCATTGAATTTACTACAGCATTTTCCAAAGCAGCAGCCATAACATTTTTACAGATGATTTGATAAAATGCATTCATATGCAACGATAACAATTAATTTATAAAAAAATAAAAAGAATAATACTCTTATTCATCTACACTGTGAAAATTGCTTATTGACATGTTACAAAAATATTCTTATTACAAAAATATTTAGTTCTCAACATCTAAAGTTTCAAGATTAATTCAAGGTAACGCATAACTGGTTGTTTTTTTTTTAAGCCATCAGTGCTTGAATGTTGCCAATATGCAAATGTGTCTTTATTTGCAACATTCATGCCACAGTACAGTATTTACTGTTCTGGGTTTGCTAAGTTTCATGGGAATTGGAGGCATTTAATTCAGGCTTAGGGAATTTTTTAACATTTACTGTGAATGTAGGCCACATTTGACGTAGTTTCAATGATACATAAGGAACTACAGTAAAATGCTTGGCAAAAAAACTGGGGTCTACTAAAGTATTTCCTTTCTAATTGCCGAGTAGAAATTCAATCCCTGTCATAACGATGAAGTTAATTTGATATAGGGCATTGAATCTGCACTTTTTATTTATAGTGAATGTATGGAGGAAAGAGAGTATGTTTGGACTGATTGCCCCTTTTCCTTGAAAATGTTTTCTAGGAAAGCAAAAATTAATATTAATTTTGTTGTGCCTTTATTAGTACGTCATAGTTATCAGAAATATTTAACTAATCATGATCAATAATTATATCTTTGTGTGGGACATTAACCAAATTAACATCTGTTAAGTTGCCATTAAAGAATTAAAATGAATTAAATTATAGAAGATTAATATAGTTATAACAATTAACGTTTAACAGAATCTTGGTTTATAATGAAAATAAGCTAGCCTAAAGAAATGTAATTTGTTGTTAAAAAAATAGCGACAACCATTAAATTACTTGACATAATTAACCCCATTACCGGACAGGTCAACATCACCGTCATCTTCACTCGAGTGAACTTTAAAACGTATAAAGTGGACTTTGCCTAACTCAAATAATTGTTGTGTTTTCCATTAATTAACGATCTGCAAGTCAAATTTTATCTAAGTTTTTTTATCAATGTCATTTTGGATTCGACTGTACTGTCTTTTTGTTTTTTGTTTTTTAAATCTATTATTTAAGTTAAGTTCAAATGACTTTTCCTAAAACAGTTTTGCCAATGCCATGGACCACTTAATAAAAACAATGTCATGTCTAACAGTTCACCTACATTTTGTTAACAGATTATGTTTGCTATAATTGCAAAACACTTCCAACAAGACGAGTCATCAAATTATTCACATTATTTCAACTACATGAAAAAGCTTTTTCGTAGGTTTTGTCATTTTTTCCTGCATATGATGCCATTCACATAAAAATGTTAAACATGTCAGTAATGAAATCCAATTTATCAGTTTCATAACTGTCGATCATCCTACTCAATGTAGGTTTTGTAAAAAACTGGGGAGAAAAAGGTGGAAAAAAGAGTGGTTACACCCCCTCTTCCTTCAGTTTTTGTCTTAGAAAAATCTGTTGGACAACATAAAAAAATGGTTTTTCCTCCAGAGCCTGGCTTTAAACATGCCAATTTTTTATAATTCAGAACTGCATACCGTATAAATAATTTTTTAATTGTTGCGTACGATGTTCTTAGCAGATAATAGCCATTGTAATATAATATATTCTAGCACAAAGATCAGTCTTTGAAACACAGCTTATGTCACTTGTATGGTATTGCAGGCCTAATTACGTTTAAACATTTAATAACAAGAATTCAAACCCAAGATTATTTATTTAAGTAGTTTTGAAGTCTATGTTAGATCCGGTATTATGAACAAGGTTGATTTCTTGTTCCTTGCAATAGACCTAGATTAGTTAGTAAAATAAATACTTTAAAGTCATAACACCGTGCATTGAACTTACTTGGCCCATTCCTTCATCAACAATTTTCATTGTTAAATAGCCAGTCCAACAATCATTGCAAAATTTGTGACCACATTCCAATCCAGAGAAATCCTATAATAAAATAAAAATTAATTTATTAAATGTAAAACTGTTTTAATAACTGTGTACAGTAGTACTTGATGTCACATCACATTATACAGTCAAAACACCAATTTATACACACTTCTGGCTTGATGAACGGTGGTCATAAATAGGAATTGGTTGTAAATTAGAATCTGAGGTGAATCTAAAGCCAGATTACAAAGTAATGCCCTGTCCACACTATCAAATTTTGTTTGACAAAAAATGTGACATGCCCAAATATGGTCATGAACACATCCCATCATTACCACATATCATGACTATATATGGGCATACAGGTATAAGAGTTTTTCGTCAAATAAAATTTGATAGTCTGCACTGGGCTTTAGATCTATCTCCGAGTACTACTAATGGATTGAAACTAAGAAAGGGGGTAAGAGCCAAATTTAAGTCAACAAAAATGTATATATTTATTTGCAATACTCAGGCCTCTTACAGTGTTTTGAACATTTTATATACATCTATGAGCCATCCATTTAGTGGAGTTGAATAACTTGGTGGTTAGGTTGCGCTTGCTTACAAATCCGAGTCCAGTAAAAGGATTTCTTTCTCACGACCAAATCAACTCCACTTTTTAAGCCTCATAATGAGACAGTCTATGTAGAGCATCTTGTGTTTATGCTTGTGACGGGATATGCCACTTTGAATAATGAATAAGTTCACTGCTTGGCATATTCTTTGCATTCATCCCACATCAATTAATAAACAAAATAATAATAATAATAATCAAAATCAATTAACAAAATAATAATTTAAAAAAAAAAACAAATTCAGTCTAAAATTTATGTTGATGAAAGCAGCTTAGCTCAATCGGTGTGCATTTATGGCCCACGTGCATGTTAAAGAACGCATTACACTCTTCGAAAAAGAGTAGGTGATTGTCTCCTGGTGTACTACCCAATCACCACCAGAAGGACCCCACTGGAAATAAGTCTTCTAGACTTTCGTGGGCTATACTTGTTGTTTACACCGAATAAATCCAAGGTTATGTTAGAAAATCATATTTTAAATATTAAAAATGTTTTTAAAATCATCATTGGGAGTATTATTTAAGGTAAACTTTGCAAGTGGTACAACAAAATATACTGATGACGTCACTAGGAGCCTGGTTATAAATACGTAGTAATTTGGGGTGTTTTAAATCATAGGTTTGACTGTATTATAATACTTCTGCATTAACTATGCATAGTGATATGCAGGTACAGTAGGCTGGATGATCATTTCCTTTGCATGTAAATGCATAAAGCCAGTCAGGGACAAAGTAACCGCAGGTGGAGTTGGTTCAAGCAATAAGCTGTCACAATCCATCATATATTAATTTATGTCTTGATTTTGAGCTCAGAAATTACAATCAGCTAACTGAAGATTAGTATTTATTGTACAATTAATATGCTTCTAAAATCTTCTACAAATTATATTAGTAAAACTATGTTTTTAACAAATGTTCTTTAAAATATTTCTAAGAATATACAACAGTAAAAATATCTCATCAGAGAGGAATAAACACAATTTCAAAACCTTTTCTCTCCTGAATCCATTATGATACCTTAATCTACCCTCATATCTATCCACCGCATGGGTTTTAGGTTTTCAACTATAATTTATCGCATGTAATTGTTTTGTGTCTTCTCATTACACCATGATGTTTTATTATCGATATCAAGTGATGAGCGGTAGAGATGGAAGCTGAATACATTTCCGCTTTCAGCATAATTTAGATTCAAATTCCTCAGTGATTACTCAGAGTAGGTGTCTTGCACTCAATGGTAATGAGGAAGTAACTAACGGCTAGCCTTCATGTAAACCATACAGTATATTTTAATTAATACCAATTAAATAGTAATAAAAATGTATGGTTTTACATGAGGATATACTGTGTTACGATAAGACTCGATAATACGTTATTGTCATTTACACAACATAATACAAATTACATTTGATATACCGTATATTCCAAAGTATTAGCTGCACACCTAATTAGGATGTGAAATATCATTTTTTTTTTTTTGTGTCACCTATGTATAAACCACACCTATTTTTAAGCTCCAAACCGTTAACAAAACGTTAAGTTTTGAATTATTTTGAAATGTTTACATTATTTTATATTACAAATGTTCAAATAAAGAAATTTCAACTTTATCAGCCAATTATTAACCAACAAACTGGAAATGTGTATAATTCTGTCTAATTACAATGAAACAACGTATTACTCTAGGGAAATCTCCATTTGTCACTAGTGACGGTCGTACCGCGTCAATTCTTCAACAATCAATTTAATTTAAGTTTAATAAAATCTACAATAGAATACTTAAGCGAGTATATTTATCAAGTTATTCTAAACCAATCATTTTGTTATTATGGTAAATAATAACAGCCGGTACTAAGCTAAAAGTATTGGTAATTCTAGGCCTGAAGTCATTAGTATTCACAGCCCACTGTGCAAAGCACGCAACATCAAGCACAACATTTTTTGTAAACAAAACAGAACTGAGAAATACCATGTGATACAAAGTTTACACATGGGCAGATGATGTATGCCATTTTACATTTAAATTCCAGTAAAAAAGTATAAAAGGAACTTAAAAAGGAAACTCATGTTTTTATAGTACACATTATTTTCACAAGTTTTTATTCTAAAATCGTAACACTACACAGCGGTATCATTTATTCTTTTAATTAAGGCACCAGACATCATACAGCATGTTCCAACCACTTCACCACCAATCACGTGTTTTGTTGTTCATGAAGCTGCTCACGTGACCTCAAGGACCGAAAAATCGTTTTATTGTTTTGAGCGAATAGATGCCTTACAGTAGGAGGCAGAATTCCTCCAAAAACTACCTTTAGCTTCAGCTGTTTTTCATGAAATAATGCCTCCTTTGACCTCATTTTTCTATAGGGTCCTAAGAACTAGACTATAATGTCATAGTAGTAGCTTGCTTGTTACTTGGGCCTCAGAGAGCCAATCTCACCACAAAGTATTTTTTTTTAAAACACACTTGCAATCCATCATAATTTCTATTAACATATTTATGATGCAAAGCAACACTTACTTTTGTTGGTACTGTACGACAACAAATCATACACACTTGCATCAGGCAGGAAGATGACCTTGTATGAACCTATGCAACAAAAACAAACACAATGTCACAGTTTGTGAAATAATTTACAGATAAATTTCTATTTAACTTGTCATCTTTTATGAAGATATATGAAAATCAAAAGCCAACACTGAGATATAATGTAAAATTCAGTATATTAGGGAAATATTTGAACACACTCTAATTACTGTTTATAATTTGACTACCACACTTGAAAAGACTGTACCAAAACATTACGTCCATTACATCAAATTACTTGCTCATAAAATTTCAAACTAATATGAGATTTAGCCTATGCCTGTAATTGATAGTTGTGAATATTCTCGTTAACAAGACTAACAAAATAAACTTGCAAGTACTACTAGTAGTTATGTCATAAATAGGAATTAAGACTTCTTACTTTTGAAGATGATGAGGAGGAGGAGGAGGAAGAGGAAGAGGAGGAATGTGGCATATGTTGCCGATGAGGGCTAACTATATGTGCTTCTGAAAATAATCGTTCCTGGTCACCGTCATAGTAGCGTTCCATAAGTTTTTCCTTATCCCATTTGAAATGATTTAGTAAGATGCGTGTTACTGTTGCGGGTATCTGTAGAAAAAAGTAAGCATATTATTAACATTATAAAAATTTATATTATTAATATTATTAGTACTTAGGTTTAGATAAATGTATTATAGTTGAGAATTATCTCTAGAAAAAGATATCCATAATACAACAATTATTAGTGAGCAAAAAAATATCCATAATACAAAAATTATTAGTGACTATAAACCGTAGGCCCAGTGTACACAAATGCTCATGTGCACTTTAAAGAACCCAGTACATCTTTCGAGATGAGTAGGGGGTTACCCCGGTGTACTGGTTCACTTGGCCCGACGTGGATAGATGAAAGTGCGCCAGTTTACTAGCTGCAAAGCACATGAAGTGACCCTCAGGGGAGGAGAAAGTTATTGAAAAGTGCAACATCTAGTCCCGAGTACATAAAGACCTTGTTCATTTGCGCTATATAAATCCATCTTTTATTATTATTATTAGATAGCATAAATAAAACATCTAATTGAATCGAGTAGCAGAGCGGTAGGGCTACAGCCTTAACATCGGCGCTGGTTCCAGCTGCTCCTTGCCCATGGTTCAGTTGGTAGAACCAAATTTTCACGGATAAGGACTTAATGGTGGTCCAGTGTATACATCTGGCACCATGTGCACATTATGATTCATTTCAGCTTCTGTTGTTGTAGAATGATATGAACATGTAGCTACCATGAAGCTCCTCTTTATGGCTTCTAGGTAGTCTAGGTAGTCACGGACCACGCCCATACGCAATTCAGCACAATGACGCTGCACGTTATGGGTTATTCCCCTACCTTTACACATTTTGTTCATTCAAAATTAAGTACTGTAGGTAAGTACCTTTCTTGAATAACTATTGCACTCTAGCCTTCAAAAATGTCAAAGAACTGCAGTACTTATTTGGTCAATTACAGTAATCCTTGGTAATATTAAATCAATACAAGGAACGTAATCCATTACTGCAATTTAGTTTATCACTAACTATAACGATTTACTGAATCCTTTTACCTTCCTGTTTTGTTGTTGTAATCACAATGAGGCAATTTTTTAGGAATGTGCTACAAAGTGGCTTTATTATTATATCTTTAAATCAGTAGCCTCCGGTTTTGAGCTCTTGATTACTTTATGTTACGATAAAGCAAGAATTATGTGATTGTTGAAAATGTGATATCACAGGTTATGTGACCTTAAACACTGTATCCATAGTCAAAGACAAACTGTAAGCCTGTCCCTTAATATTTCTGAAGTCAAATTTTACACTGAACACCAGCATTGGAAAGAGAAAAAAACACCTACAACATTGTTATCTCAGGTGAATATATTCCCTCTCGCAAAAGATTATGTTGAAGGATCCGTCTACGCATTTTTTAAATTAAGGACCAATTTTCTCACAAAATTTTCATGTCTCAATATAACACCTGGATTACACACGTTGGTTACCTGCCTGCTTACCTATTTTTCAAGTCAAATCTGTGGAACTTTCAGCAAGTTTTTAATGTATCCCTACTAGACTGAGACATTCTACAATTTTATACTCAAAATTTTGCGAGATGTACTGTACAGTAAGGGTTTTTCAAAAATAAGGGTTGGAGTATGCAGGTCACATTAGTGGAGTAATGTCCCTACCCCATGATGCATAGTTCGCTTAGGGTTGGGGTATGCGGGTCATTAGACCGTAATGGAGTAATTCATTCATTCATTCATTTATAAGGGTCTTGCTTAGATTAAAGTATTCTGCAGCATTCATGAAAACCAGACTCACTTCACTCATCATAGGTGAATACAGTGTGTATTGTGTATCAACATTGTGTATCTCACAAGTTTAAACAATCAGATTAAGATGTATTCAATTGTTGGAACTGGTGTTAATCATTATTTTGAATAGGGCAACTGCATTCTTTATGTTCTATGTCCTCAATTTCTGTGATAGTTGATGTGTGTATTGTGTGACTAATTAATGTGATGTCAGCTTCCTTGTTACTGCTAAGACAGAAAAGCTTTGAAAGCAATAAAATATCAGCATATTTGTTTGTAACATATTATGATTTTGTGAGAGTAATGCCTGAAAAATAGGAAATTACAATCATTATTTTAATGAACTACTGAATTAAATTACAGTGATGAAAGTTGATAATCTCCCACTAATCTGTTGAGGCGGTGGAGCGTCAGCCTACCATGTAATGTACTACTAGGCCTAATACTGTTAATTGCAAATTATACAATTACTATTTAGCATTACAATCCAATTTTAAGGCCATCACTTTGTGAATATAGGACGAATGAGGAAGCCCGTCATTTGACAAGGTTTTACACAAGAGTCCTCACACAAGGAATTTCTGGTTGGTGTCGTTAACAAATCACCAGATAAAAAATAAAACTTCTGCAGAGAGAGAATTCAGATCCAATGAAGATCGATGTTTCTGGCAATGAAATGAACTAACAACAAAGTGTGAATAACCATATTCTTGTCCTGGTAGTGTATAAGTGCACTAGCCTGTATATGCATATGTACTTAGTACTATACAATATATCTTGGCTCTATGTATGTCAAATATTTGGTATTTCAATTAGGCTAGATACATATTATGATGAAACTGCACTCCAAGTTTATCAAGAAGTAATTGTAAACAAAAGATTGTGTTGACATGTTAAGAATGAAGACTCAACTATAATTTAATGTATTCATAAATTAACCATACCATACCTCTACAACATTATTTACTTCTCGTATAGTATCAACCATGTGTTGAACTATTGCATCTGGATTTAACACTTCATAGGTAAAGTCATCATCTTCTGCCCTATCTCTTTGTGATGTCGATTCCTCGCCTTCCATTTCGAAGTGATCTTCGTATCCACTCGATCCTTCGTCATCCTCCTGCTCCTCTTCGTCGTCCTCGATAAAAAATCCTTCATCGTCATCCATTTAAAATATCTTCTAAAGTTATAGTCTTTTACAATAAAAACAAAAGTTAATTACTGTTCCTTTCAGAGTGGAATGTTCACCCCGTCTGTTCTATACGATCTGAAACCAACAATGACAATGTTATGATGGTCAGGCAGGAGAAAATACGTCAGTTTGGAGAGTGCTTTTTGAAGAAATCACTTAAACTCATGGACTCCCATCCAACGAACTAACATAACAATAGCAATACTAATCTTCTCTGTATAATACGGAGCACCCTGACAGTATTTATAACAATTATAGTCTTATTTTATCCGCCCAATAAACTATTTAAACAAGACAAAAATAGACCTGACACAACAACACCGCAGTCACATAGTATCATAGGCACAATCGTTTCCGAAAACACCGTCATCTTTTATTGCATTGTGGGTAATGCACATACAACTACAGAGGGCTCTGTCTATTTTACAAAATATTTCTCCAAGAAAATTCATTCACTTCTCTGAAGATATTAAATGAAATACCGCCCACTAATTGAATGCTAAACCATTTTTATTACGTATTATTTATTTATCTTTCATTTCCTTTTTAATATTTATTACGTACTATTTTTGTTACTTATATTGTTTCTTTTATTTTACATTTATTTATTTTATTTTATTTTATATTTCATAATCCCTAACCTTTTTTATTAATATAATATTAATGGTGTAGCAATGGGTTCTCCACTTGGACCACTAATGGCCAGCACGGAGCAACCTCGAAGACACCCTACAATC